CTCGAGCCCCGTGCCCCCCCCCCCCAGCCACCTCCGCCTTAGACTCACGCTCCAGTGCCACCAGCCCAGGATGCCCAGGGCAGACCCTGTGCACCAATGCACTCGATGCGGGTGGTGACACCACCGTCACCCCCCACTACCACAACACATCATCCATCATCACCAAATCCATCGTGACGTCACCACAAGAGCAGCACACTGGCACCTGCACCACCGAGACAACTGCGGCGCGGCGCGCCCACCCCAGCCCCATCACTGCTGCCTTGGCTGCTCACGCCGGCGCCACCTCCCCCAATGGCTCCTCTGACCGTGGCGCTGTGGGAGGAGCCCAGGGGACCTGCAGATGTCCCTGTCCACAAACCAAATCACAGAGGCCCAGGCCATTGGCCAGGGTTGTGCTGCATGCGGCCAAGTCGCCCAGCCGGGACAGAGACTGGGTGGCACTCTGGGATGCCTCACACAGGCTGCCCTGAGCAGGCTCTTGCAGAAGGACGCCAACGAACGGTGGGCACGCAGGCCCCGGGCCTCTCCTCATCCCTCTCAGCAGACATGTAGGTCGCAAGACATGGGGAGCAGGAGAGGGAAAGAGCAAGGCATTCAGGACCCGTCGGAAGCGGGGGCTCTTCCAGCGAACTCCGGGATGCCCAGGCTGCTCGCCCACAGCGCTGTGGCTCCCGGCCCCGACCCTGCTGCCTCTGCAACAGTGGCCCACACTCTCCAGGCTCCCGCTGCCCAGTTCCTTGCGCATCCCTGCCTAGGCCCAGTAGGCCACGAGCCACCAACGCTGGCCACTCCAGGCCATGCCCTGTGCAAAGCAAAGCCACCAGGGAGCTGGGCGAGGTTCCCGGGAACATCCAGGGCTCAAAGGGACCAGAGTCGGACTCGGAGCCACCCAGGACGTCCTCCCACACTCCCTCATGGGAGCTGAACGCCATTCCCCACGCATGCACAGGAGCACAGCGCCGCACACCCAGAGAGGAGCCCCAGCCACCCAGGAAGCCAGGACAGCACGGCCCTGCTTCTGCCTGCAAGAGCAGAATTCCAGGAAAGACGGGGTGGGTGGAAAAGCCAGGCTCCTAGAGAGGGAGCTCAGGGATTACGTAAATACTTGGCCACTCCCCGCGCTGAGTCATGGCGGCCTGCAGAGGACCGGAGGACACTCGAATCGAAGCCCTGCCCCGCAACCCCAACGCAGGGCACGTGGGGCACGCGGGGCACGCAGGGCGCTGACTTCCATCTCTTTGGTGGCACTGCCCCTTGAAACAGGCCACAGTTTAAAAGCATACTTGGCTCTCAGCCCAAGCTCACAAGCTGGCGGCTCCCCCAGGAGGAGGGTCCTCCTGCCACCTGCCTTGCTCCATGCCTGAGCACCCGGGTGCCCCCTGGTCTGCAGCCCATGGCCTCCCTCTCCTCTAGCCCAGCCGCGGCCAGGATGGGTAAGCGGGGGCGTCTTGGTGCCACCCCGCAAGTGAGGCCCGCTCTGGGAGCCCAGGGCCAGGGGACTCTGATGTCCTCAGGCCTCTGAAGCTAGGCCACAGGAGCACAGTGCCAGAGGCCAGGCAAGGCCAGGGCACCCGAGGGCAGGGGTGGGCAGCGTCCTGCTTGGGGCCCACCACTGGGGGTGGGCTCGGTGGGCCACCTCTCCAGGCGACCCCAGTGAGCTACTCGGCCTTCCTGGTGACGGTTTCCTGAACTGCCATAAGGCAGCATGCCTGTGATGCGTGCCTGTGATCCCAGCACTCTGGGAGGCTGAGGCAGGAGGATTACATGTTCTGCCTGGGTGACTTAGCAACTTAGTGAGGCCCTGTCTATAAAGGGCAGAAGCTCAGTGCAAAGGGTACAGAAAGACAGAGAGAGGGAAAGAGAACGAGAAAGGGCACAGAGGAGGAGGGAGAACAAAAGGAGAAAGAGGAGGAGGAGGGAGACAGAGACAAAAGGGATGCAAGCAGGGGAGGGGAGGGGAGAGGAGGGAGGGGGGAAGACCTCCGCCTGCCGAGAACAAGCTGCCCCTCCTGGACACCACAGCTGTCCTGGCTGAGACACCCATGCTTCTGCAATGGCAATGACTGCTGACTAGCCCGGTGCAGAGCCCCACCAGCACGCGCACTGGGGTGCAGCCCTGGGACCCCGGTACATCCTGGGTGGGGCAAGGCTGGAGGACACACCCCCAGAGCACACACTGAAGGGGCAGGCCCGGCTGAGCCTGGCTCCATGCTCACACCTGACACACGGCCAGGGAATGCAGCTCCGAAATCCAGGATAGCAGCCCTCGCCTCGCAGGGGACCTCAGAGATGCCAGGCACGGGCACATGTGCAGCGGTGACCCCGGCCATTTCTCTCCTGGGGGTTCCTCAGCTCAGACCCAGGCATTGGCATGGGTCACAGGGCCCTGCCGGGGAAGGTGAGCTCAGGAAAGCAGGGCCACCAGCTCTGATGCTGAATGGCTGCGGTGGGTCGCGGCCCAGCGGTGCTGGCGGTGTACGTGGCCTCCGCTCCACACCCACACTGTCCACGCGGGCCCATCACACGCACTCTGCAGCTGAAGACCTGGGCTCAGTGTCTTTGCCCAGGCAGCTGGATTGGGAAGGCCAAGCCAGGGGACCCAGGGCCTCGGCCTCTCTCTGCACTTGGCTTCCTGCAGAGCCTATGCAGGGACGTGAGTGCCCTGCCTCCCTGGACAGCCTCAGAGCTGAACTCAGGTCTGGCCTGGGGACCTGGCCAGCCCACATGCCCAGGCCAAGGGCTCCTCACCACAGGAAGGATGCGCTCTGCCCCAAAATCCCCGTCCCGGGCTCTCTCCCTCGCGGGCACTTCAGGCTGGACAAGCGGCCTCCGTGTGGCCAGGGCCACTCCAGGATAAGCCCAGCAACCCCAAGCTCACCAGCGCCTGGCCCGTGCTCTGCAAACGTCACTGAGCGTGAGGCGCGAGCCTGGTTCCACCCGGCTCACCCAGAGCCCGCAGAGGCAGGCGCGGGCTGGCTTTTAATGAGTGGAAGTCTTCTTCCGGAGGAGGGAAGCACTTCTCACAATGCTGCCCTCTCAGTCCTTGACAGTGAAAACTGGCAGTGCCAGGCTCGGAGTCCTGTGAAGCAAGGAGTTAAACGACTTTCTCTTCGAAAGGCACAGAAACTCAGCTGCGCTGCTGCTCGGAGTTGAAGGGCAGCCGCAGATGACCGCTCTCCCGCCTTATCATTACCACGCTCAGGAGAAAGGCAGGGAAAGGGCCCCGTGGGCGCTCGCCCGCTGCACTCCGCCGCTCTTCATTAGGGAAGACAGCTCCAATTTCCTGCCGTGAGCGCAGCTAACAGCCAGGAAGCTCTGGGGCTGGGAAAATGTGCCTTCGGACCATTAACAGCTTGCGGTCAACAAAACTCCCTTGCTGCTGGCGGCCACGCTGGCTCAAATCGCGGGGGAGACAGCTGCCCGGAATTGCAGCGTCCCCGGGCGCTCCAGCCGGGGCTGGCTGGTGCCTGGCACAGGCCGCAGGGTGGGAGCCAGCCAGGTGGGCAACACCAGGCCGCTCACCTCCAGGTCTACTTGCCTGAAAATAACAGTTTTCAGTCCTTACGGACACACAGGTGGAAGCCAGGGACACCTGCGTGGGGCACAGGCGTGCACACATTAGTACCCACACACATCTCACACACGCAGAATGTGGGTGCGACGATTGCTCCTGTCTTACAGGCTGCAAAGCTGAGTCACAGACAGGTTAGAAACCTCAGCCTTGATACAGCAGCTGGGCCGTGGGGGAGCCGGGGCTCACAGTCCACTCGGGGTGCTTCTGGCTTCCGGTGCTCCCAGACCGGGAAGAGCTTCCGGTGCTTCTGGCTCAGTGGTCTGCCCAACATGCGCTTCAGGGAAAGGGTCTCCTTGCTCAGTTGAGACATCAAGGAAGCAGCATTAGGATTAGGATTAGATCCTGGATTAGATTAGTATTTAGTTTTGCACTGAGGTGCAGCTTTTTCCTGGATCATACAATAAGAGGCTCACCGTGAGTGTACACAGAGCCCTACCTCCACCGAACAAAATGTTGGGCACAGCACAGACAGTGGCTAGGACAGAGTAAATTAATTTAAACCCACGGTCTTGACCCATCCCAGAGTCGGGATCCTGGTCCACAGGAAAACGTACAGAAGTGGCAGAGCCCATCCCGGTGCTGGGCAGCGCAGAGCGCACCCCCGCAGCGCTCGGGGGAGTCGCCAAGCTGTACCCTAGAGCCCGTCTCCACCACCTGCTGTGCCTGGATCCTCGAAGAGCACTCAGCCCAGTCTGCGGCAGCCCCAAGCCAGCTCTCAGCACCTGCTGCCCAGAGCAGCCCGAGGCCGCTGCCCACCCATGAGATGTCTCTACTATCTACAAGCAGGCACTGTCAGTGGGACCCGAGCACTTGGCCCACCCTGCACAGCCTCCAGGCTGCCACTGCGGAGAACTGACCCACAGAAGGGCAGCCACGGCCAGTAGGCCCAGTGTCACACGCCCTCCCTGCAGAAACAGCAGCTGTCCCTCCCAGCTGTCCACACTGGACCACGGGGCTCAGCCCTCACCCTCCACTGGCACTGACCGAACGCTGCAGCTGCTATTTTTCCACTGCTGTCCATCGGGCAGCACGAGCTGTACCTTGTGCTCAACCACAGCTCTAAGACAGAGCCACATTTGCAGTCTCATTTTACAGATGGAGAAGCTGAGGCTAAATACCAGCCCAGCACCCAGCAGAGCCGAAAGCTTCACCCAGGAGGCCTGAGCTGCGGCCAGCATCCTGCTGACATGCACCGCAGCTCCTACTATGGGAAACACACCGTCTCTCGCATCCACCACTGCAGGCTTTGTCCTTCCCCGTCCCCACTGCCAGACAGCAACGCTGTGGACACAGATGCGTGTGCACACGTGGCATGCCTGGTGGCGCGTTCCCAGCCCGGTGCCACGGTTGAGCCGACACCACCTCCGGTGTGGAGTGGGGGTCCCGAGGAGGCACAGGCCCACCCACTCCGCCTGCCGCTCACCTCGAATACTTCTTCATCCAGGATCCGGGTGCCGAACACGATGATGCCGTTGACATCCACGATTGGGTGGTCGCTGCGGTCAAGGAACTTTGTGGTCTTCTTTTTGCAGTCGAGGATCAAGGTGACGTTCTTCTTGTGGACACTGAGAGCGATTCTGTGCCACCTGCAGAGGAACAGGTACATGGGGCTCAGGGAGCCGGCGCCTCAGAAGCCCGCTGGGGTCTTCCCAGCAGAGCCCTCAGCCCTGAGGAGGAAGCCCCTTTGCTGCAGCCCAAGAGACTAGAAGGCGGCTGGGACCCTCGTCCCTGCAGCACTGGGCCTCCGTGAGGGCCCCTCAGCCTGCCACCGCCTTGGAACCCTCATCTCTTCCATGGACAGCTTCTGGGTACCCAGGAGATCATCAGGATGCTCGGGGGCACCAGAGCCGTGGACCCGGAGCGGCCAGACACTGCCACCAGCAGAAGTGAGGAGGAGGCAGAGGAGCAGCGAGACACGAGCATGACGGTCCCAGCGTGGCACGTGGCACCTGCCCCGAGACAAGCTGCAGGCCACTGGGTGTGACAGAACCCAACACACGTAGGTCTCTGGAGACTGTAGAAGCACCTCCGTGCAGGAGCTCCGCGTGTTGGCCGTGGAAGAGGCCACTTCAGACTCCCAGCATGTAGAACGCCCCCACAGAGAGCTCTGCTGAGAGCTGCCTTTGTTTTAAAATTTATTTTTTAATCTTTTATTTATTTATTTGGTACAGGGTCTCGCTATGCAGTTCAGACTCATAGTGATCCTCCTGTGTCAGCCTGCCCATGTGTGAGCACCACACCTGGACTTGGTGGCTTGTCATTGTGTCCGCGGCTGGCACCGTATGTGGTACTGGGGACCGAACCCAGGTCCTTACACTTGCCAGGCAGGCGCTTAGACTGCTGAGCTATCTCCCCAGTCCCCTGCCTTTGTTTTAAATCATCCACTGGACAGGGGATAAGCCACTATCCGAGAAGGATGCCACAAGTCCCTCTGGAACAACTAACCATATGCCTCCAGCATCCCCCTGACAAGGAGACAGAATTTGGAGTTTTGATGCATTTTATGAAGGAGAAAAGAAGGCTGGGGAAGAACAGGAAGACCCAGAGGAAAGGCTAAGGCCGGAGCCAGGCCCAGACGCCAAGCCCAGGGCTCGCTCCTGCAGCTGCTCTGCACCCTGCTGTGACGCCCTTCCTGCCAGCAGGTCCCGCCGGGCCATCCCTCCCCAGGAGAGGGACAGGGCCACCCACGCGCTACTTACTTGCCATCCGACAGGTTGATGCCCCTGAAGAGCGGGTACTGCTCGGGCCCAGGCTTCCCCGTGTGGTCCTCGTAGAGGAAGACGGGCGAGCGGCCCATCTCCAGCCCGACCTGCTGGATGCCCTGCTCGTTGTAGATGGAGACCAGGAAGGCCTGGCTGCCTTTCTTGGCTTTCACAGTGGTCAGGATGGAGAAGTCCTCGGGAAACGCGGACGCTGGAACAGGAGACCGAGATGAAGCAAGCTATGCCAGGCAGAGGCCACTCCCGGAGCATCCTGCCTGGTAGCTGCGGCTGTGTGCGGCACTTTCTCTGACATCCACGGTGGGGGGTGGAAAAGAGAGGAGAGGGAGGTGCGGGCCCCTCCGGTGTGGCCTGGGGCCACAGCTAGAGCTGTACTTTCTGAAGTTTCCTGGCTAAGGGCAAAACAAAACCAAAAACACCCCCCCCAGAAAAAAATCCAAAGGCTTCAATCCAAATTTGAAACTTTAAGAAAAACGGCTCTCCCGTAGATGGCCCCCAGGGAGCGCCCTGTACAACCCCAGTCAGAAACGATCTGAGCTCGTCGAAAGTCAGAGCCAGGCTGGCCTGCGTGGGCCCCACATCCGCCCCACCAGCTGCCCTTGGCCCCAGGCATGGTGGCCCCGGGCCTCTGCCTCGCTATCGACCCCGGGGGTGAAGCCAGCAGCTCTTTCCCGAGCAGCGACCTGCAGCTCTGCTGTGAGAGCAGGAGCCGACAGAGCGTGCAGCTGAGAGATGCCCTGCCGAGTCAGCCAGAAACGCCCGGCCCGAGGCAGCAAGCCGAGGCGCCGTGTCAACGCAGCCTCCAGGCTGCGCTGCAGGGCCGCAGCGGGCCCAAGTCCTACTGATGGGCTTGGAGGAGCGACGACTCCCAGCCCCCACCCATTCTGTACAGCTGGAACAGGTCAACCAGATGTCCTGGAAGGCCACTGCCAGCAGCTGCTGCTGGGTGGCAGAGCTGCGGTTGGCAGCAGCTTCGAGGAATGCGATCCGTGAGTGCCCTCTGCTGACTGGCTCAAGTGTTGCAGCCGCTGCGCTGGGACAGCAAAGGCCACAAGGCCGGCAGGGCTACCTGGGGTGGACAGGACATTCGCCCGCTACAACTTCTGCTTCCGCTGCAGGGCACACATAGGGATGCTACGCAGGGCTGTACTGCTCCACGCTCTGCTGTGGGGTCTTGGGGCCTCTGCTAGGAAGGACCTCCCAAGGAAGGTCAGCACTGTGACCGGCTCCCCCTAGGGAGCCATTGCAAGGCGGGGGCAACTCCTAGCAGCAGACGGTGGCCAGTGGCAGGCAGGTCCCAAGGCAGAACTGGTTCTGGCTTCTCTCACTTCTGGACAGGATGTCGCCTTGGAAGATAGCAGAGAGAGCCACCCTAACCCCATCCCAGGTGTGACCCTGCCCTTCAGGATATGGGGACATGCTGGGGGACATCAAGTCTCGGCTGGCATCCAGGGGGTGGAGGCTGCTGTGCACGGCAGTGAAGGTCTTGGTGGCTCTTCCCTGGCACGGAGCAGGGCCCAAGGGACTGGAACTGGGTTCGACTCACACAGCCCAGAAGTCCCTGTCCTCGTCGTGGACGCAGCAGTTACAAGCCCCTCACTGTCCTCTCCAAGGGCCACCTGCCTCTGTCCCCACCCCAGCACTCCACACCCCTGACAACCACACGGGCCGAGATAAAGAGCAGTGTGGAGAGGACAACGTTTGGTCTCTGCATCATAATACACGGCCCAGGACCGTGAATCCTCGTCCCTCCGAGCTCATTAAAAGGCTGTTTCTCAATTTATAAAATCTCTATGGTAACAAATTTTCTCAGCTCAGACAAAACCTGAAAAGATAAATTATGTTTCACATACATTTCTCTCCTGGCAAAATAACAACGGATTTACGGTCACTCGAAGGTGTCCACACCCGTCATGACACAAGTAGGACTGCTAAGCACAGTCCAGGCTGGTGCGCAGCTTACGAGGGCGAGTCGCTGCCCAACAGCCCCTATGTCATCCCTCCCGCAAAAGCCACCTTGCAGGGCGGGCTCGGCGTAGGGCCAAGCCCGTCCTCAGAGCCTTCCCTTCCCTCTGCAGCTCCGGCCCAAAGGACTACGGCCTATGGAGACTCCAGGCTGAGCCTCGTCAGCACCTCTGCCCTGGAACTGAGTCATGCTGAGCCGCAGTGACTGCAGACCAACCGTGATCCCACCACCGATAAGTAGCAGTCGGTCCTGGACCATGCTCCAAACTCTGTAGACACAAGGAAGGGACAGACGGGGCCCCCAACCTAGAAAATGAGGGAACAGGAACTCGATCCAAGGCTGTGGCCACTTTGAAAGCAGTCCAGGACTTGGGGTGGCATCTCAGCTGGCCGCTGGTGGCTCGGCTGTCACCAGACTGAGGAGGGCCTTGCTACAGCAGTTCCACCTGACTACACAGCTTCTCGGTCCCCAGTCTGCGCCACCAGGCCCCAGCCCGTGGTGGGGACTTCCCTGTCTTGTGTTTGAGCCACCCGCCGGGTGCACGGCCTTTCCTTGGCCCAAAGACACCCACAGACACCCACTCAGGGGCCTCCCCGCGTGGCCATTGCGTTCCAGCAGGCACTGCATTCCTGGGACCGGACCCTCCGGCCCTGCGAGGGGACACCACAGCAGTCCCTCCAGAAGTGTCTGGGAGTCAGATCCTGAGGGAGGGCAGTAGCCATGGCCCCGCAGCCACACCCCGCCCGCTGCAGGAGCCTCTGGGAGCCTTTGCAACTCTGAGCTCCGGTCAAGTCCCTCATCGAACAGCGAAAGTAAAAACACTGCTAAAAAACCCCTTCCGATCACGCTGTCCAGGGACTCCTCCTAGCTCTGCAGTCACTTAGCCCGCACCCCTGGGATCTGAGACTGTTTCCTGCCACAGACAGATGCAAATTGTCATACGCCTCTCGCGCACTGCCGCCGAACTGGGTGACAAAGAAAAGATTAAATGTACTGCCACATCCTGGCCACAGATTATCTCCAAAGGTGGAGCCCTGATTTGCGCTACGAATCCAACTCCCAATCTTGGGTCGGCATGGCCGCAGCACCCAGGCCCCTGGGGCTTTTCCTGGTGCCCTGGTCACCCAGGCTCCCTGGAAGGAATTCTACACCTAGGCTCACACTGCGTGGCAATGAATGTTGAGGGGGGAGTCTGGAAGATTCTTCCCACCCCCAAAGGTGTGGGGCTGCCCTGAGGCATGGCAAGGCAAAATCCCTGCTCTTCTCACAATGAAGGTCACATGGGACACCAAGGGCACCTTGACAGGACATCTACCCTTACAGAGGAGGTCCACCTTCTCCAGGCTGGGCGTCTATGACCCACGGCAGCTCTGCACGCAAGGGCCGGCCTCCAGACACTCCTTATTGCTAGGATCCCCGCTAGCTGCCTCCCCATGGCTGCCAAGATGACATCCAAATGACAGCCATCGAAATGACCTCCCAGACATGCTGTCAGAGAGACACTCACAAATCAGGCAGGGTGGGCCAAAGACAGTCGGGGACATGTTAGGGCAGGTTCACCCCAAGAGCAAAAGGGCCAAGGAGACAAAGGGGCTGCCCAGAGGGGGAAATGGGCTTTGAAAATGGGGATCACTTTCTTGTAGAGATAGGCCGCTTCTTGAAGCCCCCAGACCCATGGCCAGCAAAGATTCACAGCTTCCAGCTTGGGACTAATTCCACATGTGGGTTCTATTTCCTAGCTTGGGTGGACCCCCTGGAAACTGGTGGGTTCTGGGTGTCCCACGGCCAGGGCAGACTCGCAGCCCTCCCTGTTCTGCCCAAGTTGTGAAAATCCCACATGCCATGAGGCACGGCTTTTCCTCCTACGTGGCTGTGGGGTGGAGCCCAGGGACCCAGATGCTTGGGACCCCCTGGACGCACACGGCCAGGAACAGAACACTCTGGGGGAGCAGGGAGCCAGGTGCTTCCTAGGGCCTCCTTAGAAGGGCCCTGACTCTGGCATGACTGTCAGGGTCACTTCCAAGCCACCGAAATGCAGCCAGATCTTCTAGTAATTATGAGACAGCTCCCAAGGCGACGGTCTGCCCAGGCCCCGACTCCTCGGTTCTTTTATCGAGCAGACAGAAGAGCTCACCTCCACAAGGCCAGGCCCCAGGAGTATCCTTCACTCGCCCGTTCCGCCTGTCCAGATAAGCCCCGAAGGCTTATCCACTCGGGGATGGTGACAGGACTCACCCGCTGGCAGGGGACAGGGCCCACTGGGAGCCGCACCTTGCAACTAGTGGACAGGTAATGTCATTAAAAGCAGAGATCCGGCACTTGGCAATGGATTCTCATTAGCAGCCTTGCACCGCCTCACTGCGAGTCATGGTGTGTGATTCATGTATCTCTCCGTGTCACTGCCCCCAATTAAGCTGCTGTCTGCAAGCACTTCCTTCCCCGCATCCCCAAGCTGTCTCCTGACCTGGTCCCCGGGGACCATCCATCTCCACGGCCTGCCTGCAGCTGCCACACACCTGCTTGTGAAGCCTCAGCCCCACGTACCTCTGGTGTGGATGGTAAGGGCCGCTCGGAGCTGGACATCTCAATGAAATCAAACTGGGCTTGGGAGGGCTCCCAGGGAAACTGCGCGCTGTCCCCGGCTGCGGGCCAGGTAGTCCCCAGAAGCCGCCCCTGAGAACAGAGTCACGAGCCCCTTACCAGGGTACAGCTGCTTGGTGGGCGCGCTGAGCTGTGCGTCTTTGGTGACTCGGTAGGCGACATCCGGGCCCTTGGAGGATCGTCGTGTGGTGCAAAAGCCGGCAGTCTTCGTTACTCCATCCGGCAAGGTGTGGAAGTCCAGGACCTTCAGGAGGTCTGCTGGCTGAGCTGCAAGAGCAGGGCTGGGTCAGTTGTGGGAGGGGGAAGGACAGTGAGGGGGCAGCGGGGCGGGGCGGTTCGAGCCAGGTGTCAGGGCCACACAGGCGCTGACTCCGGGTCCTGCACGCAGCCACATGCCAGCAGGACGGCTGATACCCCAGAGATGCACCGGAGGTTGAGGACATCAAGGGCGCTGCCCGGTGAGTGGGGCGTGGTCCCAGCCCAGCAAGCCTCCCTGCAGCTCCCACACTACTGGGCTTCCCGAGTCTCCTCTGCCCTTGCGCATCTGTCCCCTTCCTGCCCGCTGAAGGGTCACTGCTCATGACAGTTTCCAGCGGCCCCAAGAGGCCTGTCGCCATCAGAAGGCCCTGTACCCCTCCTGAGGGCCCTGACTGTCTAGAGGGCTCGCTGGACCTGAGTGGCCAGGTGAGGGCTCGGGGGAGAGTGGTCATCCAGCCACCTCCTGCCGTGGCGTCTCCTCGGGAGCTGGCTGTCCCTCGCCAGCCTGGGCAGCACACCTGCCCCCAACAGTGCATGTCCTGCGTGGCTCAGCTGGCCACCCAGTGGGGAAATGAGCTCCAGCTCGCTGTCCCAGGGATAGAACACACGTGCACCTGGAGCAGCACCCTGGGGTCCCAGGCCCCCCTGCCCCTCCAGGGACCAACCCTGTGGACACCCCACCTCAAGGACAGGCCCAGCCGAGGGGCCTCCGCCCTGGGCCCTCTCCTGGAAGGAAGGGCAGCCATATGGCTGGCTCAACACAAGGGACCTGCGTGAGCCACAGATGCAGGGCGCCATCTCGGGGTGGGGAGTGCAGAAAGACTGCCCCTAGCTGCACCTGCAGGGACACAGCCCAGCCATGTGCTCCCCCATGTGCCTAAGCCCCTGGGACACCCATCCTGATGTGTGCTAGTGAAGCGCTCAGCGCCACCTCTGATGGCCCGGCCCCAGTCCCTACCCGCCGGGGCAGCTGTCCCCAGGTCGTGCCCCGGGGTGATCCCACTCAGCAGCTCCTGACCTTTCCTGGCCTGGGACTTGCTCAGGAGGAAAACCCTGTTATTCAGAAGCGTAGACGACTGGGGAAAGGAAGGGGGCCAGCTTGGGCGTCCCACCTGGGACCCAAGTTGGCCACACAGTCTGTCCGGCCAGCAGGGACCCAGTCTCCCAGGGGTCGGCTTCCTGAGAGAAGCAAACAGCAGGCCAAAGCCAGGTGACTGCGCAGGGTGCCCGGGACACTTGCAGGAGCAGTGCACAGCTGTGGGGCCAGAGAAAGACGGCAGCCTGGCCTAGGCTAGCAGAGAGCTGGAGGGAGGGAAGGAGGGAGAGGAACGGACAGGCGGACGAATGGACAGGCGAGCAGCCGCGCTTTCCTATCTGGAAGCACCTCCTGGGTCCACACTGCCCAGACCCTGGAGCCCCACGAACCCGGGCTCAGGGCTGTCATTTGCGCAGTCCGGCGGGGCCGCACCCCCGCTCAAAGCTGCGGATTTCTGTCTTTGCAGAGGCCACCTACAGACAGCAGGGGGCGCCACCAGGCAGCCGGTGCACTCTGCGCAGGCCAGGTATCTCCCTTCAGTTACCCTTAAGGGGCCCCTGTGATTTTCCTGGTGGCCCTGGGCCCTACCCAGGGTACAAGCCCACAAGGCGTGGTCCAAGGGATGCCCTGCATCCCTCTGCCACCTCCAGGTGGGTGACAAAGCCCTCCCTGGCCCCACTAGACTTCGGAAGCAACCAGGAGCACGGGTGCCTGGCTAGGCCATGCGGCCCAGCCTCAGGCCTGGATGGGGCCGTGGGAAGGGACAGTGAGCCAGCCGCGGGCACACCTGCCGGGATGACACCATGCCCAGCTACTCATCTTGTGGAATCGGTTTCCAGGTTGGCAGCAGCCTGAGGAAGGGACCGGGGATGGCGGCTTTCCTGGCCTGGCTTCACAGCAAGTCCTGATGCTCTTCCCAGACCTCGGGTGCAAGCCTGTTTTCCCCATCGAGGACAGCGCAGAGCTGTTTTCCAGTGGTCCTCAGCTCAGGTCCACAGGCCGAGGCCGCAGCAAGTTCAAAGAGCTGCCACCGCTGGCCCCGTGCCACCACCCGCGGCCAGGGTGTCCATGCCAGGGCACAGTGGGCACTAAGGCCTGGACAAGGAGAGGGCAGAGCTAAGTGGCACAGGCCTCTCGCAGGCTCCCCAGCCCATGGCAGGCCCAGAGCCACCGTCGCAGTGGGGGGGAGAAGCCAGCACCACCTCAACTGTCAGGAGGATCCGGGCAGGCCAAGCCACAGGTGCCAGCAGGAGCCATGGGGAGAGTCTGGAGCCCTCCAAGTTCACCGGGCAGCTCCCTGCCTTTACCCTCTGTCCCAGTGGCAGAGGCAGGCCCCTTGGCACCCCCTGCAGCAGCCCTTGGAAGGGGAGAAGAGAGTCGCAGCAGGGCAGCCACTCTTTAAGGTAAGATGCTGTAGGTCCCCGAAGGCATCTAGAGTTCTTCCTCCATCCGCCCTGCACTGTAACTCGGCCTCCCGGCCTTCCTGCTCTACACGTGGAGCGCTGAAGCCTGCGTCTCCCGAGGGCTGGTAGTGAGGCTTCTCCAGAGCGTTCTGCCCACCAGCCTGTCCTGGAGGTGGAGCGTAGCAGGGAGCCACTGTCACCTCGGCCAGGGGAGAGGCAGTGTTGGGACCTGGGTGCCAGGGACCGGCCTTGGCTTGGCAGTGTCTTGTGTCCTGGGGCAGTCTCGCTCTGCGCCACGTGGCCTGGAATGCCGCACGGAGGGGAGCACCCAAGCTTCCCTCCCCGGCCGTCCAGGGGCAGGGTGGGCACTGATCCACCGTGTCCCAGCCCCTCTCCTGGAGCCGCCTGCTCCTGTCCTCCTAGCTTAGTCTCCAGCCCAGGGCTCACCTGCACCCACTCCCGAGGGCCAGAGCCGGGGAAGTGGGTGCTGCTTCCCATCTGCCCCGCCCCCGGGGGTGCAAATGCTAATCTTGGCCTCCCTGGGCCCAAGTTCATAATGAGGCAGCCAAGTGCTGGTCCCAGACCAGCAAAGGGAGGGACAGGTGAGGTCGGCACTGACAGCGTGGCCAGGTGAGGGCTGAGGCCGAGCACCACAGGAGACAAAGACAGGGTCCCGGAGGCCCCAGGAACAGGAAGTGGGGCAGATGGACAGACAGACGGGTAGGTGGACAGTAAGTGGACGGAGGGTCAGGCGGGCAGGAGTTGGCAGGGAGACAGGAAGCTGGGAGGCCACGCCCCACACAGGAGAGCTCTTCCTGTGTTCCCAGAGCTGCGGCCTGGGTACCCGAGCTGAGCGTCATCTGGACCCTGTTGGCTACCCCTAAAGCCTGATACCGCAGCCGCTGTGACATGGCAGGGGCGCCCCGACCAGCACCAGCCTGCTTCCCTCCCCGGGGCTGTCCGGGAGGCTGTTGGGCCCAAGCACTGGGCCCTGGCTGTCAGCTGGTGTCCGGCTTCATAGGCCGCTGTCCTGCCGCCCCCAGGGACAGAAGCTGGGTGGTCCGAGGGGACCCTCAGCAGCTAAGGAAGGGCCTGAGCACTGAGGCACCATGGAGGCACACAGGTGGGTGCTGCCCCCCCCCCAGGTGCCACAGAGAGGCAGCTCCAAAACAGCAGGGGCGGGGCGGGGCGGGGCGGGGCTGGCCAGCCCTCAGTGTCTGTTGAATGGCTGACTGAGGCATAGCTCTTACACACGACAGCCAAATCCTGCTCCTGTGGTAGCTGCAGGGCTTTTGCTCCAGCTTAGCACCCGCCTCCTCTTTTCTAAATAAGCAGTGTTTTCAAGCCCTGCCCAAGGAACAGACTTCGATGGAGACAGCTGCTGGTACTGCCCCTCCATCCCAAAGCCGAGACACAGAGATCTTTGGCCACCACCCTGTGCTCCCAGGGCTTGAGCCTGACCTTGACTTGACCTTGCTCTCCGACCCCGGATGGCCCTGGCACAGCTAGGAGTCCCTGTCACTGTGTGACACACAGCAGGGACACACAGCCACCTCAAGCCTCCCAGGGCAGGGTAGCAAGCCCAGGGCCAGCTTGTGGACCCCAGCATGGAGTCTGACCAAGGGAACACACCAGGCACCGCCCCACAGTGCCGGGCTTAGGGATAGACTAGGGTTGGGCTGCAACCAGAGTCACAGGTCACAGGGATGTCTTGGTGTCCCTTCCCATCCGCCCTGCCCCCGGCCGTGCAGATGCTAATCTTGGCCTCCCTGGGCCCAAGTTCATGACAAGGCGGCCAGGCGCTGGTCCCAGACCAGCAAAGAGAGGGACAGGTGACAGCGTGGCTGGGCGAGGGCTGTGGCCGAGCACCACAGGAGACAAAGACAGTGTCCCTGAGGCCCCAGGAACAGGAAGTGGGGCAGATGGACAGACAGGTAGGTGGACGGCAAGTGGACGGAGGGTCAGGTGTTTAGAGTGGACGGGTGACCTGCAGTCAGGGGAGGCTCCACGCAGCAGACCCGCCCCTGCTCCCCCATCCGAGAGCCACCAGCCTCCTTCCCAGCAGCTGTCACAGTGACTGTGGTACGCCAGAGGCTGACAGCCCTATGCATCCTTCCGGTGGTGATCAGGGTGGACCAGGGCCCAGTGGCGGAGGAGATGGCCCAGGAGAGGCCAGGGAGGCTTTCCCAGGCCCTAAGTCTCTTCCCTCTTCTGCACCAGGCTAGAAGGCGGGAGAATGTCCCCAAGAGCCCCGTGTGTACACTGCCACTCCTGCTGCCCAGAGGGTGACTCTCAGGAGAGCCCAGGGCAGCACCAAAGGGGGAGCAAGGAACTGTTCCACTCGATCTCAGGGACCAGGGGAGGTGCTCTTGGAGGACCTTGAGGAAGGATAGACAGAAGAAAGGACTGGGTATGGGATAGGTGATGAACAGAATGACTTCAAAGATGTTTGGGTGGATGACTGATAAATGGTGGATGGCTGGGTGGATGGGAGGATGGATGGATGGATGGATGGATGGATGAGTGGGTGGATAGGAAGATGGATGGGAGGATGGACAGATGGCTGGCTG